TGAGCAGGAGTACGCCATCCCTTGGTGGCCCAGCAGCACGCAACTCCAGCTTCCTCCCATCTCCCCCACATTCCCATGTGTTGTGTCTCCCCATCTCCCACATCGTTCTCCCCACCCACAGGAGGAAATACCGGCCAACGCCAAGTTTGAGCAGGAGCATGCCATTCCGTGGTGGCCCAGCAGCAAGCTGGTAGAATCAGCTCACAGCCCGCCTGCCCTCATCCCACGCACACCATCTTTCCCCTCTCCTTCGCTGTGTTCGTCCACGTGTCACCCACAGGAGGAGGAGCCGTCACATGCCAAGTTTGAGCAGGAGTATGCCATCCCGTGGTGGCCCAGCACGAAGCTGGTGGTGGGGCGGCAGTTCAAGGTGGCCATCCGTAACACCTCCTTCCTCATTGCACGCGGCATGCAGGTAACCCCATTTCACGTTTAACCTCATTTCAAGTTTAACCTCATTTCAAGTTTAACCTCATTTCAAGTTTAACCTCATTTCAAGTTTATCGTCATTTCAATTTTAGCCGCATTTCAAGATTAACCTCATTTCAAGTTCAAAATCATTTCTTATGCCGACTCAACAAATCGCCTCATCACATGCAACACACCTCCTTCCTCGTTCCCCAGTGTAAAAAGTGAATTTTTGAGACGTCTCAAAATTCATTTGTTACACGTGGCTTCCCCAGGGCATGCAGTTGCAGGTAAGCCAACTGTATCTTCACTGGTTTTTTAGATTTCTAAAAATCCTGACTTACTGACTTTTGAGTCGACTCAAACCTGAACTACTGACTTTTGAGTCGACTCAGAATGCAGGAAAGCCGACCGTATCTTCACTGACCATGGTGGTGTGTACTAAAGTGTGGCGTTTGTTTGTACCATGCAGCTCCCTCCGTCTCATTTCCCATCCCTCACTCTCTCCTCACGCCCTTTCCTCAGGTGCTAATCCAGGGCATATTCACGGGAACCGTTTTCTACCGCATCCCCATCACCATCACCACAGCCACCATGCATCTCAGTCCGTCTCTTTTCCCATCCCTCGCACCCCCTGTCTGCAACCCCCCCTCCCCCCTCTCTCTCAGGTGCTCATACTGGGCATATTCACAGGCACAGTCTTCTACCGCATCCCCAACACCGTCACCACGGCCACCTTGCAGCTGCGCCTCTCCATCGCCTTCGCCGCCACCATGGCCCTCGCGCTGGGGGGCTTTGCGCTCATCCCCAACATCATCGACGAGCGCCAGGTGGGTTGAGAACTTTGTATATATATATATATATATATATACATATATATATATATATATATATATATATATTTTGCTTTGTTCCTCAAGTTGCTTTGAGCGTTCTCTTCAGGATTTGCTACCATTCCACTATGAGCTCTGACCTTTGCGCTCATCTCTGTCCCGAACATTATGAGTATGGATGGACGGGCGGCAGGTGGTGGAGAAGCAGTTGGGTGCACGGTTCTACCGCTCCACGTCCTATGTCATTGCCAGTACCATCTGCAACTTTCCATTCTCGCTCGCTGAGGTGAGTGGAGGGAAGGGAGCAAGGAAGGGAGAAGCGGGGAGCAGGGCTGCTTAAGTTGGACCAATTGGTGCTCATATACGGGCCTCTTGTGTACTGGCTGACGGGCATCAGTGCAGCGGACAACCCTGACTACCCCCAATCACCCCTTCAAACCCCCCTCCTCCAAACCCCCTCCCTCTCTCCCTGTCCGTCAGGTGCTGATATACGGTCCGCTCGTGTACTGGCTGACGGGCATGAGCGCAGCAGATGGAGGGGCGCACTTCTTCCTCTTCCTGCTGCTGCTGCTCGCAGTGGACGTCATGGGAGCCACGCTCATCCGCCTCATCGCCTCCGTCAGTTCTTCACGCGAAATGGCGTCCAGCCTGGCAGGTGGGTGGGTGGGATACAGGGAAGAGAGAGGTTCGTTGTTATTGTACCCTGGCAGGAGCACCAGTCGACGTCATGGGCGCCACGCCACGCTCATCCGCCTCGTCGCGTCCATCAGCGTGTCACGCGAGAGATGGCGTCCAGCCTTGCAGGTACGGCGCAGGGAAGAGAGCTTTTGTCATTCTACCTCTGACAGCAGTGCTGGCAGGAGCAGCAGTGGACGTCATGGGAGCCACGCTCATCCGCCTCATTGCCTCTGTCAGCGTGTCACGCGAAACGGCATCCAGCCTCGCAGGAACGGCGCAGGAGGTGACTGTTGAGTCGACTCAAAAGCCTCCATCCTTGCAGATACGGGGAATGTTGGAAGAGAGTTTGTCTTATTGCATCCCTGGCAGCAGCAGTGGTTTTCATGGGAGCAACACTAATCCGCCTCATCGCCTCCGTCAGCGTCACGCGAGAGATGGCCACCAGCCTTGCAGGTGACTTCACATGGCATGACATGGCATGACATGTTATGACATGATGTAATCAATAAAGCACATCTGGTGTGTGACCTGCTATTCACGAGCTTCCTGCACTGAGGTTTTATTGGTGTGTTTCCAGACTCCAGGAACACATCTCCCCTTCCACGCCCTCCCTCATTCTCCCCTCCAATCTCCCCACCTGTCGTCGCCCTCCGCGCCCCCATCACAAGTCTGACGACAATTACCTTCCTTTTTTCCCCATGCTTCCGTCTCCACCAACCCTTCCTCCTCTGCTCCCCCATCCCCTCGCTCCCCCATCCCCTCTCTCCCCCATCCCCTCTCTCCCCCATCCCCTCGCTCCCCCATCCCCTCGCTCCCCCATCCCCTCTCTCCCCCCATCCCCTCTCTCCCCATCCCCTCTCTCCCCCATCCCCTCTCTCCCCCATCCCCTCTCTCCCCCATCCCCTCTCTCCCCCATCCCCTCTCTCCCCCATCCCCTCTCTCCCCCATCCCCTCTCTCCCCCATCCCCTCTCTCCCCCATCCCCTCTCTCCCCCATCCCCTCTCTCCCCCATCCCCTCTCTCCCCCATCCCCTCTCTCCCCCACCCGTCCTCTGCCTCTCCCCTCCCACCCATCCGTCCCAGGTGCAATGGTGATCACGTTCCTGCCATGCACGGGCGTTCTGACTTTTGAGACGACTCAAAAGTCGTCTACTTTTGAGACGTCTCAAACGCCGTCCCAGGTCTAATGGTGATCACTTCCTGCTATGCACGGGCGTTCTGCATGCTTTAGTCGACTCAAAAGCCGGCAACAAGCTATTTCTTTGAGCCGACGTAAAGTCGCCCTTGAGCTCCTCCTCCCTCCCTGCCCCAGGTCTGATGGTCATCACCTTTCTGCTATTCACGGGATTCCTGCTGACCAAGCCCAACATCCCGCCCTGGTGGATCTGGATGTATTACATCAACCCGCTGCAGTACGGAGTCACGGCCATCTGCATCAACGAGATCCTCTCCGGATCATACAACGAGGTAGGTCCGTCCGCAACCGCTGCACGTGGTGCGGTGTCGCGTGCAGCTCATGTCACAATGTGGTGCATCGCTGCAGTACGGCGTCGCTGCCATCTGCATCAACGAGTTCTTCTTGGGCTCCTACAACGAGGTATGTCCGTGCACAGCTGCTGGCCTTGGAGTGTGTGGGTTGTGCGGTGTAATTTGCGGTGCGGTTTGTGTGGTGCACGGTGCATGGTGTGTTGTATCAGGGTTCGTCTGGTGTGATGGTAAGGGCTTGGCAACGATATCGCCCACCTTTCGTCTTTCTCTGTAAGAGCCCTTGCAGTGGGCTCTTTCCCTCTCACTCACACTCCCTCTCTCTCACACTCCCCCTCACTCACACTCTCTCTCACTCACACTCCCTTTCACTCACACTCCCTCTCACACTCTCTCTCCCACTCGCACTCCCTCTCATTCACTCCCTCACCCCCACCTCCCAGCCCTGCAGCACAGTCAACACCACCACAGCATCCTTCTGCATGAACAAGCCCGCCGGCACAACAGCAGGAGAAGCCTTCCTCCAGTTCTTCGGCATGCCCTCCTCCTTCGGAGCCGTCTGGATCTCCTTCGCAGCCCTCCTAGGCTTCACCGCCATCTTCATCTCGCTCACCTTCCTCGCTGCTTCCCGCGTGCGCTTCAACGAGAATAAGACGCCGCCAGCCAGCCGCCTGCCGCCCCTGCCGCCCCAGCGGAACGTGTTCCAGAAGGCTGTGCGGGCGGTGAAGAGGAAGAAGTCTGCAGAGGGGGAGGCGGGCAAAGGGGGGCAGGAGGAGGAGGGGAGAGGGGGAGGAGATGCGGATGAAGCACAGGCAATGATCGAGAGGGATGCTGCTGCTGCTGGTGGTGGTGGTGCTGCTGATGGTCGTTCCGAGGATGGTGCAGAGGAGGACGGAGGGGAGAAGGCGGCCCCTCAGTCTCGAGTGCAGTTCGCCCCCACCACTCTTTCCTTCCACGACCTGCTCTATGAGGTGAGAGTGCTGCTGCTTTACATCCACCCAATGTTTCACCACACCATGCCTCTCCATCCCGAGTGGCAAGTGCGGCATGCCCCATCAAGCGATTGTAGCAGCCATGAGCAAGCGCACGGTGCTATGAGGCTCTTAAAAACACATACCTTCCATCCCATCCCATCCCCTCCCATCCCATCCCATCCCATCCCAACACATGAGCGAGCCCAAGGTGCTGCTCAACAGTATCTCGTGCTCCCTAGATCCGCGTTGACTGCTCTCATGGGCTCCTCTGCTACTGCCGCTCATGGCTCCTCCCATCCCCCCATCCCCCCCAACCCTCTCGTTGCCCCACCCCTCCCCTCACCAGGTGGACGTGCCGGGCATGAGTGAACCCAAGGTGCTGCTCAGCAGTATCTCGGGCTTCGTGCCCTATGGCACCACCATGACTGCCCTCATGGGTTCCTCTGGTACTGTGTTTCTCATGGCTCCTCCCATCCCCTCACCCCTGCTTCCCTCAGGTGGACGTGCCGGGCATGAGTGAACCCAAGGTGCTGCTCAACAGTATCTCAGGCTTCGTTCGCCCCGGCACCATGACTGCCCTCATGGGCTCCTCAGGTAGGCACTAGGCAGGCACTCTCTTCATCTGTCTTCCATCCCTACTCTTCCTCACACACCACCTCTGGCTTCCTCCATTCATGTTCTTGCACGCCTTTCCACACCTCGACTCGTCTTTCTAACCCCTTTCTCCCCACACACGCGCTCGCTCTCTCACCCTCTGCTTCAGGTGCGGGCAAGGGCACCCTACTGGAGGTGCTGGCAGGGCGCAAGACCATCAGGCGCATCAGATGTGACCTTCTCTTGTGACCATCACATTCTGTCTCGCCTACCCGCCTTGAGCCTCCCCACGTTCCTTCCCCCCCTGTATCTGCAGGTGCAGGCAAGACCACTCTATTGGACGTGCTGGCAGGGCGCAAGACCATCGGCCGCATAAGAGGCGACATCCTGGTCAACTCCTTTCCCAAAGTGCAGGACACGTTTGCTCGCATCTCCGGGTAGGTACTAGGTTCTTCTGTTCCCCTTTTGAATCGATTCACGGGGAGGCGACATCCTTTTGAGCTCCTTCCCCTACAGCATGCTTAGGGGACACATGTGCTCGCACCTCTGAATAGGGTTCTGCTTCGCTTCACGGCTTCCTGCATCTTAGTTTCCCTCACTTAATAGTAGTTGTAGCCACATCACATCAGATCAGATCGAGGAGATTTGAACCTTCCCTGCATCTTGGCAGGGAACCAGCGTGCAGGGCTCGCTTCTTTTTCCCCTCACCCCAACCTTCCCTTCCCCCTTCTTCCCCTCCCCCACTACCCCCCCATGCCAGCTACGTGGAGCAGAGTGACATCCACACGCCCTTCATCACCATCCGCGAGTCGCTGCAGTTCAGTGCTGCACTGCGCCTCCCCTCCACCACCTCGCGCGCTGAAAGGGCACTCGTTGTGCAGGAGGTGTGTGCGGGTGCTTGTTTAGGCAGACTCTAAGCCAACTGTGCTCCGCCATATGGTGCGAGTTGCTGCACTTGAGTGCTGCTGTGCGGCGCTTCCCCGCCACCACCTCAGGTTAGCAAGCAGGAGGTGCATGCGGTTAGCAGGCAGGCAGGCAGTTTCTCAAGGGCCGCTGCAGGAACCCCAGGCCATGAACCTGCTGGAGCAGCTGCACGACATAGCGGACATGCTGGTGGGTGGGATTCATCGGCACCAACAGGCTGTCAGTGGAGCAAACTTAACTTAAGCTACCCCTTTCCCTCCCCTTTCCCTCCCCTTTCCCCTCCCCTTTCCCCTCCCCTTTCCCTCCTCTTCCCGTGTCTCCCACCAGGCCATGGACCTACTAGAGCTGCACGACATAGCGGACATGCTGGTGGGGTTCATAGGCATCAACGGGCTGTCCGTGGAGCAGGCGAAGCGGCTGACAATCGGCGTGGAGCTGGTGGCGAACCCCAGCGTTCTCTTCCTGGATGAACCCACCAGCGGGCTGGACAGCCGCGCTGCTGACATTGTGGTTCGCGGCATTAGGAACATCGCTGCCACTGGCAGGAGGTAAGGGGGAGCGGAAAGAGGGGGGAGAGAAGAAGAGAGGGAGGGATGAGGGTGTCAGCAGCGCGCCTGGACAGCCGCGCTGCTGACATTGTCGTGCGGGGGATTAGAAACATTGCTGGCACTGGCAGGAGGTGAGGAGGGATGAGGATGCTGGAGGGAGGGTTGGGGGAGAGAAGTGGGGAATGGAGGAATGGAAAGGAGGTAGTGTGTAGATTGACTTTTACTTACACCACACCACACCAGTGTGTAGAAACCCACACCCCACTCCCCTCCCCACCCCACCCCACTGCACTCCCACCCCTTGTTGCAGCACGATCTGCACCATCCACCAGCCGAGCCGGCGGCTCTTCTTTGCGTTTGACTGGCTCTACCTCATGAAGCGCGGCGGCGAGGTGGTTTACTTCGGCCCCATCGGCCACAACGGCTGCAACCTCCTGGTGCGTTCAATGCAGTGCTGACGGGTTGGATGCAGTGCTGATGTGTGTGATGTGGTGCTGACGGGTTGGATGCGGTGCTGGTGGGTTGCATTGCATTGCAAGCGCTCGGTGAGAGTGGAAGCTGTACAAGGAATTGTTTGTATTGAATGGTTGTCCGCACTCTCACCCTCTGCTCCCACTCCCATGCCTCTCTCGCTCCACAGAACTACTTCGAGTCTTTGCCGGGCCTGCCCAAGTGCCGGGATGACCAGAACCCTGCCACCTGTCAGTGCCACTCCCTTGCCCTTTCCCCTAGCTATGCAGTCCCCCCGCGTCTCTATGCACGCCCGTCCCTCGCCGTTCTGCATGCACCCTCAAGCTCTATGCCAATTCAACAATTATGCCTAGCCGACAAACGATTATGCACCTTCCACATCTGCCCCTTTCCCTTCCAGTCCCTTTCTCTTCAACATCTGCCCTTCCAGTCCCTTTCTCTTCAGCATCTGCCCTCCCTTTCCCTCTTTGTTCTTGACTTGATACATAAGTTTTCGTCTTCTTGAAGCCCCTGTACTTTCATACTTGTTGTTCCCTTTCCCCCCCTCATTCCTTCTCTTACCATGCTTCCATGCTGCTGCGCTGGCATGGCATCCCGGCATCCTCCCCGTTCCTCCACTGCCATGCTGCCGTGCTACCAGACATGCTGGAGATGATAGGGGCGGGCATCGGCCATGCGGCCATGCGTGACTTTGCTCTCGACTACGCTGAGAGCGTGCTTGCTGCTGACAACCGTGAGCTGCTGCTCTCTCCCCCGCTTCCTCTCTCCCTCTCTTCTTGCCTCCCTCCCGCCCTCCCGCCCTCCCGCCCTCCCCCCCCCCGCCCTCACTCCCTCCTTACAATCCTCCACTTCCTGCTTCCCTTTCGTCCTCGCTACATTCATATCTGCATCTCTTGTATGCACGCTTCCTTGCCTCCGTCGTTTATTCCTTCCTCCCTTGCCATGTGTGTCTTGCTTGCTGTTGCATAGTAGTATTCTACTTTTCCTTCCTCCCTGGAGACGTATCAAAACTAGATTCCTATCTTGCTTCCTTCCTCCCTTGCCACGTGTGTCTTGCTTGCTGGTTGCACTGCTCCTTCCTCTTCTCCACGAGCCCCTCACTCACAGCGCCCCTCTTCTCGTCTCCCCTCTTCTTCTCGTCTCCCCTCTTCTTCTCGTCTCCCCTCTTCTTCTCGTCTCCCCTCTTCTTCTCGTCTCCCCTCTTCTTCTCGTCTCCCCTCTTCTTCTCGTCTCCCCTCTTCTCGTCTCCCCTCTTCTTCTCGTCTCCCCTCTTCTTCTCGTCTCCCCTCTTCTTCTCGTCTCCCCTCTTCTTCTCGTCTCCCCTCTTCTTCTCGTCTCCCCTCTTCTTCTCGTCTCCCCTCTTCTTCTCGTCTCCCCTCTTCTTCTCGTCTCCCCTCTTCTTCTCGTCTCCCCTCTTCTTCTCGTCTCCCCTCTTCTTCTCGTCTCCCCTCTTCTTCTCGTCTCCCCTCTTCTTCTCGTCTCCCCTCTTCTTCTCGTCTCCCCTCTTCTTCTCGTCTCCCCTCTTCTTCTCGTCTCCCCTCTTCTTCTCGTCTCCCCTCTTCTTCTCGTCTCCCCTCTTCTTCTCGTCTCCCCTCTTCTTCTCGTCTCCCCTCTTCTTCTCTCGTCTCCCCTCTTCTTCTCGTCTCCCCTCTTCTTCTCGTCTCCCCTCTTCTTCTCGTCTCCCCTCTTCTTCTCGTCTCCCCCTCTTCTTCTCGTCTCCCCTCTTCTTCTCGTCTCCCCTCTTCTTCTCGTCTCCCCTCTTCTTCTCGTCTCCCCTCTTCTTCTCGTCTCCCCTCTTCTTCTCGTCTCCCCTCTTCTTCTCGTCTCCCCTCTTCTTCTCGTCTCCCCTCTTCTTCTCGTCTCCCCTCTTCTTCTCGTCTCCCCTCTTCTTCTCGTCTCCCCTCTTCTTCTCGTCTCCCCTCTTCTTCTCGTCTCCCCTCTTCTTCTCGTCTCCCCTCTTCTTCTCGTCTCCCCTCTTCTTCTCGTCTCCCCTCTTCTCGTCTCCCCTCTTCTTCTCGTCTCCCCTCTTCTTCTCGTCTCCCCTCTTCTTCTCGTCTCCCCTCTTCTTCTCGTCTCCCCTCTTCTTCTCGTCTCCCCTCTTCTTCTCGTCTCCCCTCTTCTTCTCGTCTCCCCTCTTCTTCTCGTCTCCCCTCTTCTTCTCGTCTCCCCTCTTCTTCTCGTCTCCCCTCTTCTTCTCGTCTCCCCTCTTCTTCTCGTCTCCCCTCTTCTTCTCGTCTCCCCTCTTCTTCTCGTCTCCCCTCTTCTTCTCGTCTCCCCTCTTCTTCTCGTCTCCCCTCTTCTCTCGTCTCCCCTCTTCTTCTCGTCTCCCCTCTCTTCTTCTCGTCTCCCCTCTTCTTCTCGTCTCCCCTCTTCTTCTCGTCTCCCCTCTTCTTCTCGTCTCCCCTCTTCTTCTCGTCTCCCCTCTTCTTCTCGTCTCCCCTCTTCTTCTCGTCTCCCCTCTTCTTCTCGTCTCCCCTCTTCTTCTCGTCTCCCCTCTTCTTCTCGTCTCCCCTCTTCTTCTCGTCTCCCCTCTTCTTCTCGTCTCCCCTCTTCTTCTCGTCTCCCCTCTTCTTCTCGTCTCCCCTCTTCTTCTCGTCTCCCCTCTTCTTCTCGTCTCCCCTCTTCTTCTCGTCTCCCCTCTTCTTCTCGTCTCCCCTCTTCTTCTCGTCTCCCCTCTTCTTCTCGTCTCCCCTCTTCTTCTCGTCTCCCCTCTTCTTCTCGTCTCCCCTCTTCTTCTCGTCTCCCCTCTTCTTCTCGTCTCCCCTCTTCTTCTCGTCTCCCCTCTTCTTCTCGTCTCCCCTCTTCTTCTCGTCTCCCCTCTTCTTCTCGTCTCCCCTCTTCTTCTCGTCTCCCCTCTTCTTCTCGTCTCCCCTCTTCTTCTCGTCTCCCCTCTTCTTCTCGTCTCCCCTCTTCTTCTCGTCTCCCCTCTTCTTCTCGTCTCCCCTCTTCTTCTCGTCTCCCCTCTTCTTCTCGTCTCCCCTCTTCTTCTCGTCTCCCCTAATCCCCCTCCAACAGAGGAGCAACTAGATGCGATCCGGTTTGGCAGGGGCGAGTACGGACCAGAGCCCACGGTGAAGGGGTATGCAGCGACGTTTGGCACCATGACCCGCGTCGTCTTCCTGCGCCAGTTCCGCACCTACTGGCGCAACGTCTCCTACAGGTGGGTGGGTGGGTGATCCTCACTTCCTGCATTGGGTCCCATGAGAGCATGCACGCAGATCCGCACCTACTGGCGCAATGTCTCCTACAGGTGGGTGGGCTGGGTGGATTGGGTGGGTAAGCGGGTGGGTGGGTGGGTGGGTGGGTGGGTGGGGGGGAGAGGGAAGGAGTTACCACTTGGAAGAAGGCTTGAATTCATCATCATGTTAGTGTCGCTGTTGATGGTCCTCTGTCTGTCAAACAATGTGCCTCTCTTCCCCAAAAGCTGCTATCTACTTACAAAATTGTTAACATCCGGTCCTGTTGTTTCTCTTGCGTTTCTTGCCGAATCCCAACCACAGCTTTGGACGCATCATGTTTTCGATCATCCTGGGCCTCATTCTCGGCAGCGCCTTCTGGCAGGTGGGTGGGTGGGTGGATGTGGGAGAAGTGGGAGGAGGTATTGGGGTGGGGGCGGTAGTGTGTGTGCGGCGCAGTTAAGGTCCTGGGAGCGTTTTTTTACGCATCATGCTCTCAATCATTCTGGGCGTCTCCCAGCAGCGCCTTCTGGCAGGTGGGCGAGTACACGGAAACAATGGGGGGAGAGAGCAGGGGGAGGGTGCGTGAGTGGTGGAGAGAACGAGTGCGGGAGAAGGTTGGGGGAGGGGGGCGAGATGGAAGGGGGAGGATGTGGGAAGGGAGGTCTGATCTGATGGGATCATGGGCAGAGGCTTGTTGATGGAAGCACGTGCACAGCAAGTAATACAATGAAACCACATTTGCAGCACATGGGATGTGGTCTCTACTTTGATGTATTGCCACGTGGGGGCGATAACTTTTGAGTCGACTCAAAATTCACCTCATTGCCACGTGGGGGTGATGACCCCTCTTCACCCAGGGGCTAACCTCTCTCTCTGGCACAAGTTGTGGGGCGCCTCAAAAATTGTATGACCTGTATGATGAAGCATTCTTTTCTCCAACTCCAAGGCAACATCTGCTCCGCCCCTCATACTCTTTGCATCCCAACCTTTCGACCTCTTGCCTCACCCTTTCTCTCTTCCCCTTCTCTTCCCCTTCTCTTCCCCTTCTCTTCCCCTTCTCTTCCCCTTCTCTTCCCCTTCTCTTCCTTCTCTTCCCCTTCTCTTCCCCTTCTCTTCCCCTTCTCTTCCCATTCTCTCCCCCCACCCTCCCTCACCTTTCCTCGGCCCCTTCCCCTTCAGATCAACTACACCACGACGCCCGGCTTTGCCTCCCGCCAGGGTCTCATCTATGTGGCGCTCGTGTTCGTGGCCGTGGTTAACGCCAACAACGTCATCCCACAGGTGCGTGCGTGACTCGCCTCAAAACACAGGCGTGTGCGTGACTTTTACGGATGATCAAAAGACGTCTCAAAGCTCGTCGATGCTATGTGATTCGCTTGTGTTGGTGGCCGTGGTTAACTCCAACAACGTCACCCCACAGGTGCGTGGTGTAGCCATCTTGTGAGGCACACGAGACGGGGGAGTGGAAAGCATGGGGAGGGGGGAGTGGAAAGCATGGGAGGGGGGAGTGGAAAGCATGGGAGGGGGGAGTGGAAAGCATGGGAGGGGGGAGTGGAAAGCATGGGAGTGTTGGGTATAGGGATGGAATGCATGGGAGTTGGGCCGTGGGTCTGTAAGGAAAAGCGGAGAGAAGGCATCCAACATGTACTCTCAAGATGTGGAAGAGAAAAAGGCACTCTCTTAACACACTCTTCCCCCATGCTCCTCCCCCCATCGGCCCCCTCCCTTCCGCAGGTGAACGCGGAGCGGCCAGTGTACTACCGAGAGAAGGCGTCCAACATGTACTCTGCATTCCTCTATAACCTGTCGTGGGGGCTCATTGAGGTGCGTGGGGAGGGGATTTGGTGGGGGGGAAAGAGGGGAACAGCAGGCAGGCAGGCACGGTGGATAGAGAAGGCGTCCAACATGTACTCTGCATTCCTCTATAACCTGTCGTGGGGGCTCATTGAGGTGAGTGGGTAGCATTGCAGTAAGGAGTGGGTAGGGAGACGTGGATAGAAGAGTAGGTGTCAACCATGTATTCTGCGTTCCTCTACAACTTGACATGGAGACTCCTTTCACCCCCCTCCCTACCCAATTTCTCTCTCCCTCCCTCCAGATGCCCTATCTCGCGCTCACCACGCTCATCTTGTCCAGCATCTGTTTCTGGAGTCGACTCAAAAGCCCCTCTCTTCCCCCCCTCTCCAACTCCCTCTGCCTTCCCCGTCTCCTCCCCCCCCAGATGCCCTACCTGGCACTGACCACTCTCATCTTCTGCAGCATCTGCTTCGGCATGGCGGGCGTGGCAACGGGCAGCGCAGCGGACTTCTTCCTGTACTGGCTCAACTTCTTCCTCTACTCCGCCTGCATCACCTACTACGGCATCTTCATGGCCATGCTCACGCCCAACGCCGAGGTGCGTGCACGTGCTGTTGTGTGCTGTGGGGTGTGTGTGTGTGTGTGTGTGCGTGCGTGCGTGCGTGCGTGCGTGCGTGCGTGCGTGCGTGCGTGCGTGTGTGTGTGTGTGTGTGTGTGCGCACGCGTGCGTGCGTGCGTGTGTTGTGTGTGTGTGTGTGTGTGTGTGCGTGCGTGTGTGTGTGTGTGTGTGTGCGTGATCGCGCAAGCATATATCTTCCTACGGCGGCATCTTCATGGCCATGCTCACACCCAACGCCAATGTGCACACACGCACACACACACGCACACGACTTGGTTCACAATTTTGCCGCGGGTCCGCCATGCGCTTTTCGTTTCTCTCCCTCTCCCTTTCCTACTCCCTCTTCACCCTTCTCACTTCTTTCTCCTTGTACTACCCTCCACCACTTCCTCCTCTCCTAATAACTCGACATCCCTTGGCTTCCTCCTTGTCCTCTTCCCCCTCAACATATGGAACATCACATTCACAGACGGCCACTGTGATCATCCCTGTGATAGTCAACATATGGAACATCACATCCAGCCTTGCCCTCCACCTCCCCATCCTTGTTCCTCTCGTCGTTTCCTCCTGCGTTTACCCCCCCTTTCCCCTCCAGACGGCCACTGTGATCATCCCTGTGATAGTCAACATATGGAACATCACATCCGGTTTCATGATCCCCAAGACAGACATCCCCAGCTTCTGGGTCTGGCTTTACTACCTCAACCCCACTCAGTTCGCCCTCAACTCCCTCCTCTCCATCGCTTTCTACTGCGACACCACCACTCCCGGTGGCCCCTGCTCTGCTCCTGGCTGTGCTACCAACCCTGCCGCCTGCCCCAACTGCACGTGCACTAGGATTTCCGATCAGGGGAACGTGCTGGCGTGGTCGGCGGCGGAGCAGCAGCGCTCGCTGAATCGGGGCAACATAGGGTGGAACGTGCTTGCGCTGCTGGCGTTTGTTGTGGTGTTCCGGGCAGGGGCTTATCTCGGGTTGCGCTTTATCAAGTATAACCGCCGCTAGGTGCTGTAATGAAGTGGTGTGGTAGTGGGATATGTGGGCAGGTGGATAGGTTGACCATGATAACAGTGTGCGGGGAGATGGGCAGGAGACTAGGGTGTATGGCATGGCATGGGATGGGGGTACTAGCTACCTGGTGGAAGAGTTGCTGAGATTGGCTGACTACCTTGTTTCGTAACTGTACGAACCGCACAGTTGAGGTTTGATTTTGAATAAGGGAATGTACCCCTTAGAGTACATGGCTAGATTATGACCTTTTGTATTACACTGTACTCTTATATAGACCAATGTATTTGCATGGTTTAGTCATCTCAGTCATTTTTAATCCACTCTGATCTGAGGTCAATTTCTTCTGCTGCAACCAGGCCCTACGATATCAGGAAATTTTCCCTGAAATTCCTGATTTTCAGCCTAGTTTTGTGTACCTACACAGATGTTTTAGTGTTGAGATTTTTGTGACACTGATTTTTTTCAGCCTTTATTTCATAGCTAACACTGAATAGACTTTTATCGAAGTGTACACTGAATGCACATTCCGAGTCCTTCCCGTAAAACACCCGATTCAGTCAGCCAACTTTTCCACAGTGATTTTAGTTAAAAGAAATGGATGAATCCTGACAGCACGTACTGTCTCGGTGGTTAGCGAAATTGATACGGAACGGTAAGGTTCCCGATTCGAATCCCTCAGCTGTCATGTTTTGTAACTCATAAAAATGCATTACGTGATTGTAAACTTAGGCTTCAATGTTTTGGAACCCTGAAAATTCAGCCTTTTTTTCATAGGGACCCTGATGCATCAACGTCCCTAAAAGTGAATCTGAGGGCCTGGCTGCAACACTCTGATATGAGGTCATTTTCTTCTGCTGCAACACTCTGATGCTGCGAACCTTCCTGCGGTGATCCTAAGCACGATCTAATTTCTGATCGCAACATGGTATGAGAGCGACTCAAGAATCCTTCGCAACGTCACCTCCGAAATCGTCGGCGAACTAAGGTGGCGTCTAGCACACGCTCGCGCGTAAGGATGGCCGGAGGATCTGGAGGTCATACAAATATGACCACTAAAACGCAAGCCAACCCGGCTGCGACAAACGAGGAAACGACGACGACTATCAGCACCGCCGCCCTCGCACAACTACTTCAGCGACTCTCAACTCTGGAGCAAGAATTCCAAACATTGCGGAATGGCGACGCGGGAACATCTTCCCAACCCTCTCAACCGGCCTCGAACGACCGTAATATTGCTCTGCACACCTTCTCCCTCGAAACAAATGGCTCAACTCCCAAGACTCCCCGTCCCAGCAATGAAGCAATTCTCTCAGCTCAATCAAGGTTACTCAGCATATCAAAAATAAAGACAAGTTCTTGCTTTGACAGCAAGGACTTTTACACCTGGAGCTTTGAGTTGGAGCTGCTGCTGCTGCGGTAGCCACTACGAGTACCGGTCTGAACGAAGTATGGGCAGGGCGGGTGGGCGTCACCACGTGACAGCTAACGCTGGTCTGGACGCTGCTGCTTTACCTGCTGCTGCTGTTGATGTGGCTGCTGCGAGCGCGAGGGCTGCTGCTTCTGCCAGTGAGCCAGGTACCAGGCTGCCACTCTTGCGCCTCCGGCTGGCAACCCTCCAGTTCCGTGACCACCCCTAGTGTCACCTCCACCAGCCGCAGCAGGCGAGCCACTAGTGGGTGCACTAGGCTCGTCGCCAGCTCCTCCACTCCCTCCACCACCGCTGGCTGCCTCACCTCCGCCGCCACTACCTCCGGTACTCCTCGCACCCTTGCCGCCCCTCTTGCCACCCCTGCCTCTGGACCTCGCAGAGGTCGTGGCAGCGGCCGCGGTCTCGACGGTCGCGGTAGAGGCAAGGGAGGCAGTAAAGGTGGGCAGCTGTGGGACAGTGCACCCGTGGAACAGTGGGGGGGGCACAGCACCCGAGGCGGAAGCTACCGAGCGGAGGTTGCTCTCAACGTCCTTGAGCGCGAACTCAAGGACGTCCATAGCGAGCTCGCTGGGGTGCTTCAGGAGAAGCGCGTCGCGAACAGTGGCAAGACGATCAGGGAGGCTAGTGAAGATAAAATAAATAGTGATCGCCATAGGGGGGGGAAGCACTGCGAGCTGTGCATCAGTACAGGCAGCGCAGTAGCTCGAGTCTAGCGAGCGCAGGTGAGTGATCAAGTCAGTAGAGCGCTCAAAGGAGGCGAGGTCAGAAAACAGGAACGGGAGGAATAGGCGACCAAGTGAGACAGTGGTGGGAGTGGAGTAGCGGGCCTTAATCGTAGTGAGGAACTCGCTAGCAGAGCGAACCTGAGTTAAGTGCGCCTCCTCAGATTCAGCGAGGAGGTTGCTGAGGGCGATGCAGGCCGCTGCGTCATGAGACTTCCAAGCTGTAAGGGCAGCTCGCTCTCGTGCAAAGCGCTCCCTATCTGCATCTGTGGGGTCAGCGCTTAGTGCGACTGGGGCAGGCGGCGCAGGGATGTCACCGGAGGCGTGCGCCGAGAGGGTTTCGTCTTCCTGACACTGACTCTCTAGTAGGCGCTACGGACGGAGGAGCCAAACTGAGAACTCCAGCAGTCTACCCTCGGCATCGAAGCGGAGAACTCTAGGGGGCGCCATAGCTGACTAGGTAGGGGGGAGATGCGGTTGCCAGCCGCCGAGAAGGCCTGAGCAGTGCGGGCAGGCTGCGCACGGCATGGGCGGAACGGGCGCGATGCGGCGGGTGAAGGGCGCAGGCGCGGACGCGAAGCGGCGGGGCGCAGGGCGGAACGGGCACGGCGCTACGAGCGCGGACGGGCAGGGCGCAAGGGGCGCGAACGCGCAAGGCGCCGATGGGCAGGGCGCAGGGCGAGACGGGCAGGGCACAACGGGGGCGACGGGCAGGGCGCAACGGGGGCGACGGGTAGGGCACTACGGGCGGACGAGCAGGGCCCAACGGGCGCAACGGGCGCGACGGGCAGGGCGCAATGGGCGCTACGTGCGCTACGTGCGCGACGGGCGCTACGGGCGCGACTGGCAGGGCGTGCGGGATATAACTAAGACAACGAGAGCTAGTCTACAGGCTAGTCTGCAGAGAAGCAGCTTGCCAACGTAGCAAGTCCACAGTGTGCCAACGCTGCAGCAAGGCGGCTGCACAGCGTTGCACCTGCGTGACAGTGGTGCACTTGCTTCGCAGGTGCGTGCAGCTGGTTGGCGTGCTATGCATCATCACAGGCACAGCGCAGACACCAAGCCAACCACATGCCCACGATTGCATCTGATCCGCGACGTCGACCTCGGGATACCACCTCCGAGGTCGGCTGGCTTTGCAAGAACTTCCGGGGCTACTCTCGCGCACTCCGCAGTGCCCATTTCCTGGGTAACTGAGTCGACCGGGCAACCAGTTTGACGCCACCAGGTCGGCGTCCTCCCGGGTCGACGTCCAGGCGCCCAGGTCGACCTCACCGGGACGATCACCAGTACTCGGCGCCTCCTGAACTCGGCGCCCTTCCCTGATCGACGAGCCCCGTCGTCGATCACCCATACATTTCGGCGGCCTGCCCCACAACGCCGGCGGCAACGCAGCGGCCCTCGTGCAGGTTGACCTAGCACATCGACCAGCTCGCCCAAGTCGGCGTCACCCACTACTGTAGGTCGGTTGAACCTCCCGCACATCCGACACCGAATTTGGCTCCGCCCAAGCGAGGACGGGGCCAACAGCGCAACTCCCGTTGACAGGGCGCGACGAGCAGGGCGCTACAGGCAGGGCGCCACAGGCAGGGCGCGACGGGCAGGGCGATACGGGCAGGGCGATACGGGCAGGGCGCGGATCGTAGTCTAACCTAGCTGATACCATATTACAATCTAAGAAGCTAAGGAAGTAAGTTAGGTAGGAGGATGATGTTACTAAGAAGCATGGGGTACAAGTAGTGAGGGTCGAGAGAAATTATGTACCCTCTAAGAACTACCTCACTGCAGCCTATCTAAATGATATAAACATTTGACACCTAGAATCACCTCAGGAAGCTTCGCAAAATCAGAGTGTTGCAGCGGAAGAAATTGACCTCAGATCAGGGCTGACGTTTCAAATTTAGGTACCGTGAGTTCCACCTAAAGAAGAAGAAGAAGAAGAAAAAACCCTAAAGGCACATTGTCCATAAAAACGGCACCCTGATTGCTCAGTGTTGAAAAGTAGTTAACTCTGATTATTCAGGGTCGAGAATTTAACATCAGAAAAGTAACGCGCTCTTTGTTTACCGGGGAAAAATGTCACACTCTACATAATCGCAACACATCGCAGCATCATTTCGGGCACACCTTGTGCGCGCTGATTTCTACCATTTTACATTCGTAGAAATTGTATTTATCCACACGTTTTAGCGCGGGGAAGAGACGAGCGATTTCGGTCACCCACCAGGTCAGTGCTTTACTCAGCTCACTGACCGTCTTCGTGCGGCGTACGGTGCAGACGGCCCTGCACCTGACTGGCTCCCCCTTGTTCACTCGCACGGTCCGCGTTGTAGGACATGTCCGCGTTGTAGGACCTCCGCCGAGGTCGTCCACCCTTCCTCTACCCCCCCTGCCCCTCCCCTCGTCGACCTGCGTGGGCTGACTCCGCCGTCGGCCTCCGGCGATGAGGGGAGCTGTGGGACGTCGCCTGTGGCGCCGATCAAGGGCATCGCCGGTGGCCGACAGGACGAGCGGCAAGTCGACGAACAGCAGGTCAACAAGCCGGTCGACCTGGGAGTGCAGTCGACTTGGATAAGGGGGGAGCCGGTCGAGGAGGTGCAGCCGACTAGGGTGCAGCCGACAGGGGAGCAGGCAGCAGCGAGGCCGACCAAGGAGCAGTCGGCGACCTGGCAGTCGGCAGGGGAGCTGACCGCAGGGGAGAAGTCGGTCGGGACGCCGACCGAAGTGCAGCAGGACGACGAGGATGGCGGTGAAGATGAAGGGGAGCAGTTGGGCGACGAGGAGCCGGTCGACCAGAAGGTGGTCGACCAGTCCACCGACCGGGACGTGGTGGTGGTCCCTCC